AGTGTCTCTGCTCGATTCTTCTGATGTATCACAAATTAAATTCTTTTTGGCGACTGAGTTGAGGCTTTCGCTTGGATTATGGTTAAAAAAACCCTGTAATAAATTTTAATAAACAGAATAAATAAACAGACAAATCTCCTCCTTCTTCAGAAGAATAAACATTTCAAACTCTGTAGCTGTCAGGACCAGTTCTTAACCCCCTCTGAAAACGTGGTACTCGTTGTTTTGCTGAATATTTCTCTGCTTCTGCCTTCACTGGGATCCTCTCAGCACAAACACCTCCTCCTCGGTCTATTTTTAATCTAAATGTTACACATGTGTGTGTTTCCGTGCATAGATTACTCCGATGCGCTGCCTCTCACTGTGTTTTTAGCCCTGGTTCCACCTACACTCCGCGGCCCTGCTGTTGCCTTCGTGAAGCAGCGTCCGGGCCTTCTTGTGGTCCTCGGCGGCCAGCGGCGCCTCCGCGAGCTCTCTGTAGATCTTCCACAGATCCCGGCAGGCCCGGAGCTTCAGGGGCCGACCGTCTGAGTCCAGCCAGCCGCCGTCCTCCGCCTGTTTGCGGCATAGCTCTCCCTGCTGCCTCGCCTCCTCCAGCTCACCTGAGAGAGGTGGCATTTTTATAAGAGTGGGTGCAACATGAGTTCAACCGTCACAGGAAAATAAAGAGAAAAAACAGCAACAAAACAACTAAATCAAATAAAAATACCAAACATGTAGCTGGTTTTGAGGGAATAAGGTTGAGTTTTAGATCATCTGAGTGAAGAAATGTTTCATTTTTTGAGTGCTGATGTAGCTCACAGGGTCAATCAGGTGACCTATACGCCATAAGACTAACACAGAGGGCTGCATTCAGGTCGGTCTTCCATCTTTCTTGTCTTCTCTGCACCGCCCCGTCACAATAAATTATTAATTTGAGTTAGAGTTATTTTTAATCTCAGGCTTTATTCCACAGTGTGTTCTTTGTCTTGTCTTCTTCTCGTCACCCCCAACCAGGAGATGGCTGAAGCTTCCTCTGCTGGAGGTTTTTTCATGTTAAAAGGGAGTTTTTTCTTCCCACCGTCTCCAAATGCTTGCTCATAGAGGGATGTCCGACGGTTGGGGTGTTGTATGTTGTAATTTATCACGAGGACCAATAACAGCACAAGCAAGAGGGGATCTTATCTTTTCAACACTGCCCCCTGGTGACACTACACAGCTACAACACTCACAAAGGACCAACACACAACTGCCCTCTTTAGGTAAGAGACTAATGCATCAGTGTCAGTGAAGGACAAGTATGCCTGTGTGTACATCTGTGGATCTCCACTTACACACAGAGCAGAGCACTAGACACTCCCACAGTGCGGGCAACAGTGGTGCTAAAACGTATTACAGACGGACTGCAAGGTTGGCTGGTATTTTACAATTCAAATGTTTAAGTTTGTAATTATGATTAATTTTTACAATGAACGTTTCAGGATCAAACTGAAAGGAGAAGCCACACCTTCCACTGCAAATGCAAGTTAAATAAGGTCTTATTGTAGGTGATACTCAGTCTCACATAAAAATGAAACACAGAAGAAAACAAAACTTCATGTTCAGCTTTGACTTTCTTTTAATCTGAATGTGATTCAAGGTTTTACTGGCCGCAGTTTTTAGTGCTGCTCATCTAAATCACCTCGACCTTGGCACTGCGCTCACCAGAAATAAACCAGCCAAGTTTGAGGCTGAATGGAAGCTTGGACGTTAAGACAGGCTAAGAGCAGACAGTCAGAGAGTTTCATTATTCACTGTCATCGTTAGTAATTCAGATTAGTCAGTTACTGTTTCTACTGTCTTGGAGTAACTGTGACCACATGCTTTCCTCAGGGATTAATAAAGTGCTGTGATTCTGATCATTCACTGTCACTATACTCGGTGTGTGCACCTCGATCCAGGTACAGCTCAGTCAGGCAGGCCCGGGCCTCGGTGGCTGCTCTGGAGAACCTCCCTTTCTCTCTGTCAGTACAGCTGTGGTAGAAGTAGAAGCGGAGCCAGAGGTCCTCGGGGTCTGAGAAGAACCGACCCAAAAGGAGACGCTCCTCGCAGACGGTGGACCAGATACCTGCAACAGAAGTCACCTGGTCCTGCACCATGTGGTTCATGTGTCTTGTTCTGTGTTCTACCAACAATAACCTTACACTCATTATGTCACTGACACACAAACACACTGATCTAATCACTAAATGAAGCCTCACTGGAATCAGAAGGATTGAATCGAGGCTCTGTGTGCGTGTGTGTGTGTACCGGTCCTTTCAGCCTCCTCAGCCAAGCTCAGGTGCTGGCTAATGGTCTCCATTTTGTGTCTTTGTTCCACCAGAGGAGGAGCACGAAGCCTGAGTGATCCCGGTTCAGCCGTCGCCCTCCAGTCCTGATCAGAGCGCAGCAGAGAGACGAGCTCAGAGAACGACCTGAATGACAGAAAGACATTTTTGGGGGATCTTTTTAACTTTGTGTAAACTGGAATGACCACCTGGGAAAAGCACGTCAGAGCACCAGTCCACTGTTTGTTAGAAATGTGCTGCACTGAAGCTAAGCCTCCATCTTCCATGAATTCTTTTTTATTTATAATGTTTGTTGTACAGTCTATTTCTCATGATCCTGTCAAAGGGAAACTGGAGTTTGCTGCAGCCAGTAATTACTCCAAGTCGGATTGTCTTTGATAGCAATAACTTCAAATGCTCACTGCGCCTGCATCAGCCACAAACCGTCAAACAGAGATTCAATATAACACGGGAGGAATCACAGCAGTGAGATGAGTGTGGTATCAACATGTGGGGGAGAAACAAAACATAAAATGCATTTTGAAGGTTTCTCCAGAGTACCGGCTCTTTCCCCCTGTGTCATAGACATTAAATGAATGCAGTGTTGCTGTTGAAACTGAGACGTACACCATGAGAAGGTTTTATCTTTGGTTGCAGATTTTAACAAAGCCTGAAAATCTCACACACCTGTCTCCAGCACTAACAAACTTAAGAGAGCTCAGAGCTGCTGTCAAAATAAGATGGCTTAAAAAGTGCCACTCTGTGCAGTTTGGGGGTCTCTAACTCAGAAAGTGTTGATGGCATGAAGGAAAGGCTCAGCTAGATATTTAACATCACTGTACAGTGGAAAACAGCTGGCTCTGAGGCGTTTGGGTGCTGTAGGAAAATAGGAAACAAGAAGTGTTGGTTGGGTCCTGTGTGAAATAACGAAATGTGTTGCATGTCTGATGGACAATCAGTTCTTCATTATAAAAAACATGTTTTTCATGTCTGTGAGTGTTTGATCACACTGACGGTAATTTTGTTTTTGTACAGCAGCAAAACTGCAACGATCAGCCTGCGACTGCAGAATCTTGTTTTTGAGTCAGACATTAAACATTTATCTTGCTGATGGAGAAACAGATACCTGTGGAAGCCTTCCTGCAGCAGCCGCACACAGATGCTCTGCTTCGGACTGCTTCTGAACCTGATGTGAGAGGCGGAGGAGGAGTAAAGATTACAGATGTGAGAGAGGAGGAAGACCATGTTAGGCAGCTCAGTGTGGGCGTGTCACAGGAGAAAAATCAGTTGGCAGCCCTTCTCTTTGCAGCAGGGGGCGCTCACACCACTCAGATTTCACGGTCACGATTGCTGAGCAGTACATCTCTAACTCCTTAAACTAACTGCTGACTGGCACCTGTCCACCTGAGAGCTGTGTTATGGTTTTCTTTGTGTTAGCTGTATTATTGTAGGGTCTTTACCTCACAATAAGCGCCTTGAGGCAACTGTTGTTGTGATGTGGCGTTATATAGATAAAAGTGATTTGGACTTACTCCACAAAATATCAAACCACAGTCAGAGATCACAGGGACTACGATGGTGGTTATAAACTTTCACTACTAAGCTGGGCTCTCAGCTGCAGGCTCTGAGCGCGCTCGCATAAAATGATCCCTATGAGTGCGCACTACTGCAACCAGAGACATTATCAAATATGATAAAATGGTGATTAAAGTGGTGGTGCCTGTGTTAAAATCCACCCAGTGACACTGAGGATGAACTCACAGAGCGATTTCTTTCCTGGTCAGACTCTCTGCTGGTCGAGCCGGGCCCAGTCTGGCTCTGAGGGACTCCTTCGTCTGCTTCATCCTGCTAAAATACACACACACACACACACACACACACACGGGAAGTTGAGTTCCCATCATTACTTCAGAGACTGATACCCTGCTGCTATGTCACTGCGCTCTCCAGCACATTGAGTGCTGCTCTAAACAAAGAAGCCTTAAGTGGAAATTACTTCCAAAGACCTGCAGTTAGCACCAGTGCTGCTTTCTAAGCACACTCTGTAGGTGGAGCGCTTTGGTTATGCTGAGGAAACACTGTTTGAATACTTCAGTCATCACTGAAGGAAATCAAATATTCTCTAATAGTGCCACAGTTCATCTGTTAATAGTAAGGGGAAATGAATGACACTGAAACACAATAGATGCACATGGAGTAAGTGATGACTGTAATACATCTGATAGCGGGGTAAATCGCCACATATTCTGATTACAACTTCCTGTTTCTGTCCGTAAAAAGGCAAGGGCGTATTTATGTTCCACCCTGTCTTTAAGAGAGCCACCAGCAGCTGTAAGAGCTGCACCGAACACTGAAAGTGAGGTTAAAGTTTACTCTGAGGGTTACTTCTGTCCTCACGCTAATGTCATGCTGTCAAAGATGTAAAGCATATCAGCAGGTTATGGCATGACACAGAAAACACATCAGTAATACAACAACCTGTCAGTTATGTGGTGCTTGTTTTCATTACCTGAGCACTATGAAATATCTTTGATAAAGAAAGCAGTGAATACTTTGCCCTAGTATTTAGCGAATACACAGATAAGCACAAGTGATGTTTGCTTTGATTTTGATGAAGAAGTAAAGACAAGGTCACGAGAATGTCTGTGTGGGTGTTCCAGGAAAGAAAAAGGAGGAAAAGAGGAAGATTGGTGGATGTAATAACAGAGGACATGCAGAGAGATGATGTGACAGGAGGTGATAGGGATAGGGTGAGATTTCCTCCTTGCTCTCTGCCCTTTCCTGCCCTTTCCTGCCCTGCAGGCGGTCCTTACCTGTAGTAAGTGCTGCTCCTCTGTTTGCTTTTGTTGGTATTAATTTCAGGGAGAAACCCAACAGCTGTGTTCATCTTCACCTGCAGGTCAACCTGGTGGAGAGAGAGAGGACCCCACCCCACAGAAAATTTTATGCATGAACTGCAATCAGTTTAACACTGATGCCTCTTCTAAAATCACAGGGTTTTTATCTTGATTTGAACAGTTTTGCTGCATCTAACAGGGTCACCAAAGAGCGCCGGTCGTTTAAATACAATTACAATAATTTAAGTGAGAATAAGTTAGGCAGACTATTCTGGAGTGTAATTGTGATATTTACAGCTGCACTTTTTAGAAACACACGCAGAGCTCCTGAATTACCGAAAGAAAGACACAACCAGCTGCGCGTGAGGTGCACCCGAAAAGCTCCGGAATGAAGCTAGAACGTGAAGCTAACGTCAGTAAACCGGAATAACAAAAATAAAATAAAATAACAGTAACCCTGCTAAGATTTTAAATGTAACACACGGAGAAAGAAGCGCAGAAACACGAACTCACCGCCAGTTTTATTAGAGAAAAACTTTCCACGCTGCCAGCACACTCAACTTCGTCACTATGACAACACCGAACCAAGTCGACCAGAGCAACGAGCTGAACTGCTTCCGGTCAGGTGGTCCCATTAAAAACAATCATTTTTTTGTGTGTATATTAATTTTATTTATTCCATGAGTTTGTTATTATTGTCTTCGTGGTGACTTCATGTGTATCTTGTATAAACTGTTTAACAAAAACTTCATAAAGTCCAGTTGTATTTTCTTTTCTTTCTCTTCTAACAGGTAAGTTTCTTTTCTTCTTTTGCATTAATCCCAGAATGAAGAGGAATAAAGTCTGACAGTATTCTCCCTGTAAATTTACAGCTTTATCTCAGAGAGTGCTTAATTTTTAAGACGCTTCACTGACTTTAAAAAACAATTCTGATCAAAATCTTTCCAAATATTTAATATATTATAATAAGCCAATTTTATTTATAAAGCACTTTTAAAAAACGATAGCGGCTCCGGCAGATCCCAGGAACGACATCCAAGATCTCTGTCCAGAAGAGCGCAGTCCTATGGGTGGTGGAGAATGGCCGAGCTGAGATCCTGTGTGACTTCCAGACGGGAAAAACGGTGGTGGCTAACCAACCGGACATAGTGGTGGTAGACAAACAGAAGAAAGCGGCTGTAGTGAGAGATGTAGCGATACTGAATGAAAGCAACAGCAGAAAGAAGCATCAGGAGAAGCTTGAGAAGTACCAGAGAAGAAGATGTGGAGGGTGAAGGTGAAGGTGGTCCCAGTGGTAATCGGAGCACTAGGTGCAGTGACTCCCAAGCTAAGCAAGTGGCTCCAGCAGATCCCAGGAACAACATCTGAGATCTCTGTCCAGAGGAGCGCAGTCCTGGGAACAACTAACATACGGCGCAGGACACTCAAGCTCCCAGGCCTCTGGACCCGAGCTTGAAGGATTGACCACCTGAAGGGGCGAGGTGGGAATTTTGTTTAAATATTAGTTATATATCAGTTATTAGCAGTTTTATCAGTAATTTGTAAGACCTGCATATGACAGAGGTTCATGAGGAGCTTGTAAATAGTAACATCACACACCAGAGGATGCTGCAGAGAGGGGTTCATTCATTTCATTAAATTTATTTTTCATTAATTTGTTCTTCAAAAATCAGTTTAGTTATTGCACGTGAGCACAAATGGTTGCAGAAATCTTGCAGACAGAGCTTTAAACCACAGCCAGTCACAAAAATGTCCGGATAAAACAACAAAAGCCAAGAATGATTTTGAGTGTGGGCGCTGACAGAGCAAAAAGACGCAGTAAAACTGCAGCAGTGGAGTCAGCGGGGGTTGAGTAAAGCTTTTAAAGGAGCCATTGCAAAAAGATACACAAATTTTTCTTATTAACACTGCATTAAATCCTCTCCTCCTCACGATTCATCTGCTTCTTTCCCTGTTTGCACTCTGCACACATCAGATGTTCGGGTTCCCGCAGTGAGACTTTTCCATTCAGCCTCACCACAGCTGGATGGAAATAGTGTGCCACTGCGTGTTCTTTGCGGTTCTTCAGAGCTTTATAATAAAGTTTCACGTTCAGGGTGGAAATCATCAGCAGCTGAGGGGACGTAGAGGCTGTTTCCTGTCTGTCTCAGTGGGCTTGATTCGCTTGTTTAAATGAACTTGTTTGTTCTCGTCGCTCTAATTAGCTGCGAGTGTAATTGATCTTTTTATCAGCGGCACTTCAAGACGAAAGTGAGAACGAAACCTGCGCTCACTGAAGATAAAGTGCAGCACTCGGTCCTGGTGGTCCTGTACATGCTTCTGCTTCTGCTGGAAAAGCATTTGTTGTTCACAGACACAGCACATCTTTTTCATCTCTGCAGTTAAGCCGCGCCATAAAACTGATTACATTTATAAAATTAGTCTTGGCATGTGGCCTGTCAAGCTCCTTGCTCCTCATGGGTGCAGTTTACTGTGATAAGAGCAGCACATTACTTCGCAGGTTATCTCCGACAGAGGGGTCACTGATTTCACACAGTGATGCACAAATCCACGCTACTCATTGCTGCCTGACTATGCTGGCTTTTTGAGTACTTCTTCTAAAAGGGCCCGCTCGTAAAAAACAACAGTATAAAAATATTAAAAGTACACAATCTGGGGACAGGGGCACCTCCAGAATTTTTTCAAAGGGTTGCTCTAAAAATATTGGAGTGGCACACCAAAAACAGCATTTGCCCTTTTATTATGTTGTTGTTAAATATAGGTTACTTGAAGAATATGGCAAAAAAGAGAGAACGAACATGCCTTAGTAATTTCCTGTTATTAAAGTTGATATGACAATATGGACCCGTGAAAACCAAATACGATTTCATGATCAATATTAATCTGATTCATTAGATGAAGTTATAGATTGATTGAACATCCCAGCCATTAGTTTAATTGGTAAAATTATTACCAACATAGGACAGGTTTGCTTTGTGGGGTTTCCCCCACCCGACACACACACACACACACACACACACACACACACACACACACACACACACACACACACACACACACACACACGCCCATGTTTGAGGAATACAGTGGAAATTGTTTTAGCGACTCTCAGGATTTATTTGAAGAGCATAAACAGAGCTGAGTGAGAGTGGATGGACTTGGATGAGTCAAGTTGGCCAAAAGCCAAAAGATAAACGCTAATGTTGTTATAAGGGCTGCAACTGCTTACACTGCAAAATCCAGTCTTTAATGTGGACAGGGGTAAGAAAGGCAGGGAAAGACCCACACATGAGAAACTCCAACACTGACCAAGAACATCAGGGAAGAAAGAGCAGTAAAAAAAAAAAGAAGTAATGTCTGAGATATGAACAGATGTAGATACTGAAGAGGCTAACTGAACACAGGCGTTGAAACAGAACAAAGGAGGCAAAGAAAGTACCAAAGCCAAATATCAATACTATTGATACCAAAGTTGGTATTGATAGTATTGGATCAATTTTATAATTTAAAAATAATCATACGTAAAAAGGTATTTTCTGAGTTTTAATTCAAGCACCACATGGAGCCTCTGTTTGCATTTTCCTGCAAATGCTGTCTCAGAATGTAAAGTACAAATACCTGAATGTGGGTCAACAGACAATTAAAAGAAATATATATTGTGGTGAAGGTGTGGTCCCTGGCTCAGCTGTGCAGTGCTCAAGGGGCAGTGCCAGTCAGGTTCATGGTACAGGTATGTGGTGTTTTATTAATGAGCTCTCTCTCTTCCCTGTTGATTTAGTGAAGCCGCAGCAGAGTGTGTAGGAGTGCAGCGGAGAAGCTGCACGCGTGGGTGCAAAACCGTGGTAATCGGAGCACTAGGTGCAGTGACTCCCAAACTAGGCGAGTGGCTCCAGCAGATCCCGGGAATAACATCGGAGATCTCTGTCCAGAAGAGCGCAGTCCTGGGAAC